AAGAGTTTGGGTTGGGCCATTAAACAAAGAATTGAGAAGTGGGCATTATAAAGTTTTTTCCTTACTTGGGCCCAAAACTTTTGATTGATAGTTTTTGTTTTTAAGGCTAAGGGAACAAAAACAATAATATGTTTGGTACAAATAATCTTATGCAAAGTTGGAGAGAAGTCGAGCGTGAAGTTTGGAAGCTAATGATGAGAAGAGAAGAGAGATCTGCGGTTGACAAGTCTCTTGTGGATGCCTCTGATGGTGGTTGGTGTCGTGCGGCAGCAACCTCCCAAGAGAGACACTCCTGCATCCATCCATTTCTCTACGTATGATACAAAGTCTTCATCCCCAACTCCTGTGTTTTCCTGCATCAGTTTTTTTTCAGCAACTCAAAGATTTCTATTCAATGCGTATTTTGCTCGTTTATCTCAAACAAATTAGTATATTGACTTACAACCCACTCCTTCCGTTCAGCATCATAGCTTTCTCCGCTGTTTGGGTACACTAGTATTGGCTTGGTCGTTACCTACAAGTTATGCAAACCTGTTAGGGTCTCTACGAATTTCAAATACCAATACCAACAATGTGTACCGCACCTTTTCAATCTCCAAAACTAGCCCCTCGATGAATCTTGGAGGGGTACAGTTGATCCCAACAGCCACTACTTTCTCACAGGTTTCAGCTATGGCGATACACTCCTTGATGGAATCTCCGCTTACCACGTTCACCCCATCCTTTGAGTTGAACGAAAACCACCCAGGGATCTTCACATCTCCCTCATCTAACAGCTCAGCAAATGCCTTGACAGAAAGTAACCCAAACTTAAAACTCAACAGAAGCTAACAACACAAGATGAGAAGCATGATATGAAAGAATAAAAGTTAATTTGTCATGAAAAGTTATCAGTACCTGAGCCTCTAGCTTGTTTGGAATGGTCTCAAATGCTATTAAATCAGCACCAGCCTCCGCCAGAACTTGGACCCGTCTGCGGTGAAAATCCTTCAGTGTTTCCAGCGTGATCGAATCACCATAGATTCCACTGATACAGTAACAGAAACAGTTAAAAAAGTTGCAAATAAAGGAGTATACGAAATGGACAAAAAGCAAAAGCTCAAATCTGAATAGGGTAAGTGATAGTTCCAACCAAAACTCATATCATTAACTACATAGATTAAAAAAAGAAAAATGCAGGACTAACCTGTATTCTGACCCATCAGCCAAATACGCACCATAGCTGCCTACTGATGCTGCAACTAGTATAGGCCGCTTTTTAAGAATCTTATCATCCATGATTTCGCTGGAGGAGCTAGTTCCGCATTTTTCATAATACGTCTTCCGAGCTTCACAAGCTATTTCTACGCTCTTTCTAAGCAAAGATTCACCTTTTTCTTTTGAAAAACCCTTTGCTTCAAACCCCTGAATCGTGGCCTGTTCAGATTTATCATCATCAATCCACGTTTAGTGACCTTGGACACAAACAAACGTGTTGCACCCAAA